CCCCCGTGATCATACACCTCGTTCCTCTCCCCTCCTCCCCTCCCCTCCCCCTCCTCTCTCTCTCTCTCACCTGGCAGCCTGTGTGCGTAGCTGCTTGCGCGCTCCCCCGTGATCATACACCTCGTTCCAGTCCATCATGCGCTGGTTGACAGGGCGATAAGGCTTCGTGAAGCGTGTGTACTTGACGAATCCTCTGCAGAAACACACGAAAAAGACACGCGTCGTTAATTACTACTGATGATGATTATTGATTAAAATTAAAATTAATTACAGAATGATTGTGGTTTCCGATCTGGAAACAGAGCTTTTCTGCAGAAATGCAAAAACCCGAAGTGAAAATAATTAATAATTAATGAAATTAATTACACAATCATTGTGGTTTCTGATCTGGAAGCGAAGCTTTTCTGCTCCTTGATTACCAACGAATGCTTCTTTACCCTTTAATTTTTCCTCGTCACGTTCTTCTACGTCCTTGGCCCTCTACTCCTCCTCCTCCTCCTCCTCCTTCCCATTCTTCTTCCACCTCCTCCACATCTCCTCCTCCTCCTCCTTCTCCACCCCCCCTCTCTCCTTCTTCTCACCTGGTCTTGTCCAGCAGCAGTTCAAAAACCTTCCCCTCACACAGTGTTCCTCCATCCTTCCTCCTCCATCTACCTCCTCCTCCAACCCTCCTCCTTCACCCACCTCCTTCTCCACCCCTCCTCTTCTTCTTCCTCCCACTTCTTCTTCCTCATCCTTCCTTCTCCTCCTCTTCCTCCTCCCTCACCCTCCTCCTCTTCTTCCTCCTCCCTCACCCACCTTCTTCTTCCCCCCTCCCTCCTCCTCTTCTTCCTCCTACCTCCTCTTTCTCTTCTTCATCCCATCTCCTCATCCACCTCCCTCCCCCTCCTCCTCCTCCTCCTCCTCTCTCACCTGGTTTTGTCCAGCAGCAGTTCGAAGACCTTCTCGTCGCGCTCCGTGTTCTTCACAAGCTCCTCGATGTCGAGCAGGCTCGGCTGTCGCGCCGGCCTCACCTTGTGTGGTTTCTCCACCACCTCCTCCTTCTCTAACCCTCCTCCTCCTCTTCCTCCTCCCTCACCCACCTCCTCCTCCAACCCTCCTCCCTCACCCA